GTGGGACTGGGGGAGAGCTGGACATTTGAGACAGCTATGGGGTGGACCCATGACCCAGGGGGAAAATCTACCTGGAGAGAGCTTTTCTCTCAAGCCTCAACAAATGGGGAGGGAGGGACCTGTGGGACAGATCGAATGGGAAGAAAGCTGGAGCGTCTGGGTGCTTAGCAGGAACGTCGTCACGCTAGCAAAAGCTAGCACTAAATGTTAGGGGACGAGGTAGCCGAGTCGCTTGCTTAATTCAGGTCAAGAATGGTCCTAGGGATAAAGCCAGGGCTCGTGACGACAGAGGCATTTTGTGTATTCCCTCACGGAAGGTGGAACATGAGCTGGGGCCTAGGAGAACAGGGGCTCCTGTGGCTAAAGCAGCTGAATGCTCCCCAGGGGAGCTGGGCTGTGCGGCCACCGAGACGGCCACCGAAGCCAAGGTCAGCCCAGCAAGGAAACCCATGCGCAATGCTGCGGTGGAGCCGCAGGAGCAGCATCTGGAGGCAGAGGGACGTGCCCTCTGAACAAAGAACATGCCACAGGAGGCTACACATCCAGGGGGAAAAACGGGCCCGTGCCAGCTCTAATTGGCCCCTAAAATGACAAGTTATTCTTTTGTATTTAATCTCTTTGTGCTTTGTTTCCCCATCTTTAAAACATCCCTTCATCTCAGAGAGGTTTGGGGGAAAATTAATTAATTGTTCATCAAGTGCTCAGATACAATAGCGATGAGATCGGCAGAAGTTCAAGAGGAAATTAATAATTCTGCCTCTGGAACAGGGCTTGAATAGAGCCCTGGTAAATATGGCAGAAGGGCACACACTGAACAATGAAGAGAAAACAAAATAATGAAGAGCTGCTCATTAAGTGAGCAAAGTCCGTTTTGTGCGCTGAGGGAGGCAGGGACCCTGTGGAGAAACCAGCGTGGGAGCCTGTAATTAAAAGGGAGGTGCCCTCTGAACAAAGAACATGCCACAGGAGGCTACACATCCAGGGGGAAAAACGGGCCCGTGCCAGCTCTAATTGGCCCCTAAAATGACAAGTTATTCTTTTGTATTTAATCTCTTTGTGCTTTGTTTCCCCATCTTTAAAACATCCCTTCATCTCAGAGAGGTTTGGGGGAAAATTAATTAATTGTTCATCAAGTGCTCAGATACAATAGCGATGAGATCGGCAGAAGTTCAAGAGGAAATTAATAATTCTGCCTCTGGAACAGGGCTTGAATAGAGCCCTGGTAAATATGGCAGAAGGGCACACACTGAACAATGAAGAGAAAACAAAATAATGAAGAGCTGCTCATTAAGTGAGCAAAGTCCGTTTTGTGCGCTGAGGGAGGCAGGGACCCTGTGGAGAAACCAGCGTGGGAGCCTGTAATTAAAGACTGTCTAATAATGCATACACACCAGGGGGGCAAATTAAGGTTGCACAAGGAACCTTAACACTGCTATTTTCTAACTTTTCAGTGTTTGACTTTCAACCTTCACAATGCTCTTTTAACGCAGTTTTTAGGTGTGCAGTGTCACACAGAGGTGTGGGCATCGTACCTTCCTTCTCCAGTTCCAGCAGCAGGGCATCTATTCTGATTTATTCGGAGAAGTGTGTGCTTACCAGCCATTAAAGGCTTAGGAAAATAATCAATTAAAGTCGGTGTTCAAGTAAATGCATACCAGCTTTTTGGGGCCGTGGGCTGGTTTCTTTTTTTTTAAGCAAGGTGCACGTAGCCAAACCCAGTATTTTCTTAAGCCGAAGAATAATACATCCAACACAGCACATATGTACTACAACCTAATTTAAAAATAAAACGTGTCCTGAAGAGAGCTGGTTGGTATTTTTTAATTCAATCTCTTACCAGTCAAAAAGAAAAAACCAAACCCAGACAACAAAAGGCTTTCTCGTGATACCAAACAGTTCTGCAAAAATAAGAGCACTTATGGAAACGCTGCAGCAGTCCCCAGCAGGTTTTAGTCCTGGGTGTGCCGACCCGTGGGCCATACAGCGCTCGCAAGGTCTCTGCCTCCTCCAGCACCGAGACATTCCCTCCCCAGCTCTGAGCTGGGCAGCCCAGGGGGGATGAAGCAGCCCTGCAACAGAGTTAGTGCTTACCGAGCGCTGCTGCCTGTGCTGCTCGCCCTCCACCGCCCACACCGCCGGTGCCTCCATGCAGCCCAGCATCCCAACAGGTACCGACCAGCTGGCGGGATCCCAACGTGCTGCCACCACTGCAGCTGCAAACTGCCCTCACCAACGCCAGAGCTGCCACCGGAACACTGCTGCTACTCCTGGGAGACGCTACAGGAAAGCAAGGGTGAGATTACCTCCACCCCACGGCAATGCCCCTTGCGGAAATCGGTGGAGCGATCATCTCGAAATTGTCCCTCCCCTGCCGGAGGCACCCCACGTGTGAAACAGAGCGAGGGGACAGAGCATCAACCCTTCTTGTCCACCCTGGCAACCCGCAGCAGCCACCTCCCGACTGCAGAGCGTTTAAGGATGGGTTTTGATGAAGGCCACATGAGCATCGACAGGCTGAAACTGCCACCGGTGCGGGCTTAATTCTCTGCTTCTCTTCTCCCACCCAACAAACCCCAAAGCCTTCCAGCCTCAAACCAAGAAGAGCGAATGTTGCCTCCTGGAGCAGGAGTCCCATGAAACAGGTCTGTGTCCTGAGCAGCCTCGGGGGAGGCTCACAAGACAGCAAAACTGGGCTGGTAAATCCCTGCCCGTTGACTCACTGGTCTCACGGGGAAATCAGAGGACTGCAGCTGCCGACTCCGCAGGCCTGGGCTCGGCGGAGGAAACCCTGCTCTAGCGGAGCTGGAGCGCAGCAAGCAGCCCAGACCGACAGCCCGCCTGCAGGCTCGCCTGGCCCGTCACAGGGCAAGGCAAAGCTGAGATCCACGTCCCCGGCACAATGGAAATCCAGCTGCCAACTGGATTTAGCACCTTTGTTAGTGCATCTGTAGAGACACTATTGGTAATAAAACCAAATTCTTAATACCAACACAAAAGACACATCATGCCAGTAAAAGCAAATGACTTTTTGGTGAAGGCTTGGGAGTGGGGAAAAAACGAAAAGCACAAACCAGAACAGAGTTTCGTCTAGAATATTGGAATTACTTAAACTGAGGTTTCCTACTCGCTCATTTAAATCACAATTCCAGACAGAGACATCAATCATTCCAGTTCCCACCCACTCTCTGTGGGTTAAACTGCAGCAAGTAGAGGTTAAGTGACTTGATGAAACCACACACAAATCACCAGCAGAGTCAGGGAACACAGAGCTGGGACCAATCAGTCCCAATCTCAGTTCTTGGATTGAAAGAGACTCGCAGACCGTGCTTAGGATGACTTACAGCAGCCAGTCCCCCCTCCGAACTTCTGAAAGCTACCTCACCTGGAAGGCTGAGGGCACCTACAAGAGCATTTCTGCTGTGCTATATCCTTCACAAACAAACATCTCCCACCTGTAAATGGTCTCTCGAGGACTGACATTTTCCGTCAACCCCAAACTCTAGCGAGCCTGTTCTGCTGAAAGCTGTGATTTGTAGTTAGCTTTTTAGCAGGTCTGAGGCACGCAGTCAATACCGTGGAGAGTAAAAATCAGAAGAATTAGCTTCTCTGCCATCGTGCTAAACAGTTAATCATCTTCATTTGCTTGAAAAAGCAACCTGAGCAAAGTCCTACTGATTACAGGAGAACACCCCTGGGGAACACAGCTTCATGCCCTGGGAAAGCTTTGGTCATTAAAAATCGGTCTGAATCAATGGGGCTTTCGCAGCAAGAGTCACAGTGGAACTACCAACACACTGAGCGTGTGTGGCTTCCAGCTGCACGTTCCCAGGCAAATCAAGGGAGCTTAGGTGGCTAAAGAGCACCTCTGTGGGCTTGTCCTGAGGCCTCCCCACAGTGAAAACGTTCACCGTCATCTTGAAAAAGGTTCATTGCTAATGCAATTAAAATTGGATTACACACTTTCCCAGGGAAGGCCAATCTCTTCATCATTCCTTATACTGACCGAGTTATAGAGGCCCCTTCTCTAAGTTCTTCTGGAGCTCGCTGTCCTATTGCCCTGTACTGATAATGTTCTCCTGCTGCTCCTCTTTACGTCTGCACAGTAACATTTCAAAGAACATTTGATGAGATTGTAAAAATACTCAGCATGTTTGCAAGTGCTAAGGTGAATGCAGATTCAGAAATTTAATTATACAGTCAATCATGTCTGCAATTCAGACAGCAGCTCAGATCTCACAACTTAATTACTTTAATTTCAGGTGAATAGCTTGTGTTGTCGTAAGTAGTTTGACATGCTGAAAAACAGTCAGAAATTACAGTAGGAATTGATAGCCTTACTGCTAGTGGGGAAAACGTTGGGGCATCCTTGGAAGTGTTCAAAACCTGACTGGACAAGGCCCTGAGCAACCTGATCCAACTTTGAAGTTAGCCCTGGTTTAAACCATTCTATGACTCTGGGCATAAATACTGCGATAAACTACGGGCAACGACTGTATCTTTCTCATACAACTCTGTAAGTCATGCCAGTCACCAACAACCTTGTGCCAGCTCAGCACGTGTAGCCGAAACTCTCTCGCACAAAGGCAGCGTCTTTCGTGATGCTCCAGGAGCATCACCGCTCCTTCAGCGGCATCGTGCACGGCTTGCCAAAGCGCATTTTTACCAGCTAGAGGCACAAACATTTTGTGGCTCCTTTGGTCTAGCAGAACCAGATGCAAATGTCACAACGCGTTCTTCAATAGCTACCAAAAGGAGGTGTTAAATCACCAACTTTTATTCTTTTGACCACCCACATATCCTGGGCAGCTTAAAACGCCTGAGCTGACATTTGCTGTTCTGCTTTTCATTTCAAAAATGCAAGAGGAATAGCGTAGGGACCTATTAACAAGAACAAAGCCATAGAAATCTGTGGCAAGGTTGCGAGCCTAGCAGCTGATTTCACAGTACAGCCAAGGCACAGGATGAGGCAAGAACTGTTAGGAATCGTTAAATGCTCTTACCTGTCCTGCAAAAAGCCCACACACGCCAATAATACAGAGGATGTTAAATACAGCTGAGCCTACGATGGTTCCAACGCCCACGTCTCCTTTTGTGATAAAAACACCTGAAAAACAAGTTCAAGGCAAGCTGTGTAAATTGGAAAGAGCAGCATTTTTCCACAAAGAGACTGCAGACCTCACACCCCGTTAATGAGTCTGAAGGCACGTCCCAGTCCTGCCACTTCTCCCGGTGTTTAATAGGGCGACTTTCAGAGGAAGTTACTAGGGTGAAGGCAGGCAGCAGAACTTGCTTTCCGAGGGGCCCTGGATAGATTGCCTAAGGAACTTGGACACGCCTACGTCACCAACCTCCTGGTCTTGAGATCCAACGTTACATCAATGCACATCATAAAAGGCAGTGAGCCCCGTGGGAGCAGCTGGTCAGACACAAATCTGCAGGACACTACCTCCCATCCCCTCTGCTCTTCCCCATATCCCCAACCGGCTTCAGCAGGCACGTAGGAGCTGGAGCTGGTTCAGAGCCGCCACCAGCTACTTGCAAGCCGAGTGATGCCTCTCAGGACGAGTTATGGGGCTACGTTACAAGCTCCTTTCAGAGCTCTTCTGTCAAATACGGTTAAAATTGGTCAATGAGGTTAATGGTGAGGGAGATGAACTGACAGACACGTGCATCACAGTACTGCACAAAACTCTTTCCTTAGGAAGTCAGACTAAAAATAACACTCCGTCTCCTGCCAGCTGTCAGTCTGTTTAAATTCACCATTCGCTTTTAGGGTTCCAACGGTATTGATCTGGCCAGCATAGTTTGACGGGTTTTTTTTTCTCACGTTATCCTTTTCTCAGGAACGTGCCACACAGAAGCAGTCACCCGCCAAGTGACACTGCGCATCTGCTGGGTTACGCCACAGCAGGGTAACGGTCTGGCCGTCAGCGCTTCTCCAAGCTGCTGGAGGGAATATGCTGTTATTTTCACCCTGCTAATGCGCTACCCTTAACTGGAATGCAACCCCAACTCGGTCCAATTTAAGCTCCTACATTTTGAGGCTCTGCTTATGTAATTGGACGTCTCTGCAGAGTATGCAGCTTTGCGTGAATTAATTTGTGCGCTGTATCTGACAGCTGTGACTGAAATAGAAGCATCTGGAGAAAGTACCTAAGCTGAGAATAATTCTTCTCGGGGACGGAGACCCCACTGTAACCTCCCAGCCGCTGCTCTGATGATCACTTACCAGGAGAGATGTGGATGAGCAAAACCACAAGAACACTTTCCCCTTGCACTGGGTAGCACATGTACAGCACCATTTGCAAGAGCTGACTGCAGTCCCCTCGAGGGGGGGGCTCAAGGCTGCTGAAGGACCACCCAAGTTTCCTGGGTTTCAGACACTTAAGGACTGAATCCCTTGACCACGCTTTCCACAAGCAGAGTCTCGCTCTGGCAGTGTGATGCTCTGACCAACTTGTGGCTGCGAGAGAGCATTTCAAATCCCCGTCTGGTCCCCACTCCGGCTTTCCCAGAGTGAGAAGACCAACCAGAGTGGGGGTGAGGGCAGAGAACCTGCAGCTGAGGACACAAAGAGTTTGCCTGGGTGCCAGCCCCGGCGGCTGGAGGTGCGTCCTTCGGCGCTCCGTCCCGGACCGCCGCGGGACAATGGCACTTTTCCAGAGCCACCTCATCTAGCAAGGAGTCCCCCCAATGAGTCCTACGTGTGCCCACGAGGGAAGGCCCAGGTATTACGACGAATGCTACAGGCGCTCAGCAATCCCATCCCAACCCTGCGAAACGCCAGGGGAGCACGGAGGTTTCGAGCCGCAGCCGCAGGTTAGTTACCTATGACAGATGTAAACAACTCGGGAGCGGAGCTTCCCGCCGCCATGAAAGTTGCCCCGGCCACATCTTCGCTAAGATGCAAGCGCTGCAGAAAAACACATCAGAGTTATTGATTACAACACTGAGAGCTGAAGGAATTCAACTATAAACACTAAACTGTCCTCCAAGGGTGGGAAACTGCCAATATGTATAAAGTTTTATGTTAATAAAGGGGAAAAAGTCATTACAGGCATTGGGTGCTGAAGTTAGCACCTCCCTGCAGAGAGGGCAGGTTGTGGCTGGGGTGC